ACAATTATTATTTCATATCAATTATTTCAGCCTAAACTCTTAATTTTTTTTTTCCAAGTATATTAAGTCACATATAGTCACTTTCACAGATTATTAATACATGAGCTCTTCCAAGCAAGCATGATTTTACAGCCCCATCAACTCTGCCATTCACTTTCAGCTTTTTCTATGAAATTTGAAGGCATTTGAGGGTGGTGGTGCCTATGGAGATGATGCCCACATTGACAATTGAGCAGAAAAAGTGTTCAACCAATACTCCTTAAAGTAGCGCAAAAGAAACTAAAAATCCCATACCCCATTATTCATCATTCATGTTGCTTTTTTCTTTTTTCTTGTTGGCTTACTTTAAAGAAAGAGCAAATTTCTTTAATGTTGCCTGCCATGTTTAATATATATATATATATACATATGAACCCTGAACATCTATGACCTATTCCACAGACCAATTAAGCACTAACTACTACTAGAATATTGAACCATAGCCTGTCTCAATACTGTGGACTGTGCAGATGCAACCCCTGGTTTTGCACAAGGGCCAGACACATAAATAGATGGATAGATTGAAGAAGAGACAAGTATACAACTTTTGATATCTTAGAAGAAAGAGTCCTGCAGATTCATTTCAGTATAGCAAGGGGGAACTACATTTAATAAAGGCAGCTAAACTGTCCATCAATAATGGCCTCCTCTTCAACCTAGAGACATTTATTATATGCAGACAGAATCCCACAACACATGATTGTCAAGGCAAATAGCAAAAGAAAGAAAGAACCTAGTCAATCTCTACGTGTAAATACTGTGCAGGTGAGCAACTTCGGTTGTCCAAAACCTATAAAAATGGACCCATAACTCCTACTGGCCATGACAACATTGCAGGAGTTAATGTGCATTGAATGGTCAAGATCTCACTAGTCCCTTTTGGTCAATAGTGTCCTCTGCAATTGATTTGTGCAATCAAAAACTTGTTTTACTTGCATTGGCAAGTTTCTAGGTGTCAAGAATCATTGCATGATCATTTATTATGCAGAAGTATATTTTAATCCAAGAAAAAAAAAAAGAAGAAATTTCTAGGGTATATGTACATATATATATTTTTTAACTTCTTAAGGGGACCAATAATTGAATAGAAACTGATGGATTAAGATCTTAATGAAGAAAGATGAGACGTACGGGTAAGGGGGGTCTGAAGGAAATAAGGTTGCTTTGGAGGACACCAATGCTAACGGACAAAATCACGTAATTGGCTTCGTAAACGCAACCATCCTCCGTTGTCACCGAAACGCCGTTTCTCGAGTGCTGTAATTCCCGAACAACCTGCCCCAATCATCAATTCCATGCACAAGTTGACAACAAAACAAGAAATTAGTCAATTTTTTTTCACTACTATAATTGTGCATTTATTTGTCTGCAAGTATATCTTAGTCCCTCGTTCCATTTCATTGTTAACGTAGTCATATTTTCACTTTCTGAATGTTTCAAAATAAGATTTCGCTCTCTAAAAATCAATACAACATTTTAGTATTAATTTTTCTACTTTACCGTCTGAAAAATTAACTTTTTTCACGTACCAATACCTTTCTTGTACTTTCAAATTTTGAATCTGAGAACAATATTATAAAATGACCCAAATCTAACTTGCTAGAATATAATTTGTTTGGATAGAACATTATTTGAAATAATTATTTAAAATAATTACTGTAATACTTTTTATGATGTGATTTATATAAAATAAAAAAATAATTAAAATATAAAAAGATGAATTGAACAATATATTTTGATGCAAACAAAAAAATTTTTGAGAAAAATTTACTATCCAAACATAGCCAATTAATTAATTACATCATCACTTAAAAAGTTGGCTTCTCAAATTATGGATGGGACGGAGGAGGAGGACTACGAGCAATGCTACTGTTAGGATATCAAGAATGCAATTGCCGAGGCTGCCAATACCGGTAATGTCACCATTAGGATACTCAGAAGTCAAACCAAGAAAATCTGTGCCAGTTAGTCCTATTTTTGTGACTTAGCTTTCAAAAATGTGCAGTGGAACCTATAGGCTATGACCTTTTTGTTTTTGCCTGAGATTCGATACATTGAACTGGCCAAGAAATTCCATAAAATTCATTGAATTTTCTACCCACAAGAGCAAAATCAATATGTCATCTTAATGAAGTTAAGTGTCTAATGTATGATGTAGATAGTTCCAATCACTAATGCCCTTTAATTGCCAAAATCCGAAATGGAGTCTACATCCCAATTTCTCCTCTTCAAGTTGTCAAAAAAATTTCTCTTTGCAACTTTTTCAAGTCAAGTCATGTTTAAGTACCTGATTTTTGCACTAGTATGAAATACACACTGTTGCTATTTTTAGACTAGCAAGGTGACATGCAATTTAGTGTATACCAGTATCCTAGTGGTAAATGTGAAAATTATGGAAGAAAGAAAGATGAGGCAAATGTCAAGGCAGCACATTGAATGAAGAAACTGACAAGACTCTTATCTTCTCCATGCTCCTTGTTTTGTGTTGATTTGACTGGCTACTTGCATATTTAATTTCTCTCATGAGTAAAAGGTCGTCCATAACGCATATGCATAGAAATATACAACTATTCCAAGATGGTGGATGTGGGGACTGACGTAGGTAAAATTGTGTAGCACTAAACAGTACATAATTAAATAATCTACTTCAATATTAAATTACCAAAGAAGAAAAATAGAAATCACCCGAACTTACAAACCTTAATAACAAGTGAAAATGTCACACATCACTTTTTTTCTAAATAAATCACAAACAGACTTCTGCATCTGTTTTATAATCTACAACTAATTCTATTCGAATCGGATCGAATCCCTTACGAGGATAAACTCTCCTAACATTATTCTTTCTATTACTAAGGATTTTAAATCTGAAACCTCATGGTTAAGGAATGCAAACTCGTTGGTGCACATCACCTTATTCCATAAGTTTATTGTGTCCGTTTTTCTTCTTTGTTTCTCATCTCCATGATCACAAAATGGATTGAACATTCCAATTTTTGTATCTTGCAGGGAGAAAGAAAAGTGTAGGGCATCAAAAGAAACAAATTGAATTGCTATAAAGGGAGCGACGTCGATGTCTAGATGCCTGATATATGCAAACAGGATACCATTTCTAAAATCTAAACATGAATTTCCATGCTTTTAGAACTCAAGAAGTAGGCAACATTTTTTTACCAATGTACTTCTAGTACGTCCCAAAAACTTGACTAACTCCGAAAAGGGAAAAAGTAAGGAGCTAATTACCTGAAAGACTACAGTATTATTTCTAATCAAATTGTGATTGTAACAAAGAACCAAGTAAATTAGATTACTTAGAAATGATATTGAAAAGCTTCCCACATGGACTCTTTCAACCTACGACTACAGCCCACTTCCCAGTTCTTTTACTCTACCAAAACATCAAAAACTATTGTTTAGATTGCATTTTTCTAGATTTTTTTTGTAGAAAAATTACTGTAGCGATTTAATATATGTAAGGTAAAAAAGTGATGGGAAAATGTGTTCACGGAAAACGTATCAATTTTTCTTTGAAAAACTGCTGTCCAAACAGGGCATAACTTCTTTAATTAACTAGGAAAAAAGATATTGAGCATCAATTTGTTTAAAAAGATGCCCAACTACAGCATTACAAGCAATACTTTTTAATATCCATTTCCCTTATGAGATACCCCATTCACCAATCTTGAACCAAGATTTGTGATATTTATTCCTGAATTGTAATAAAATATGAAAGTGCACGGCCTACCAAACTGGATGACATAAAACCAAATAGGTACCTATCTAAACCAACAGTAAATAAAGAATAGAGAAAAGGGCTTTGAGAACAAAGTCGCTTTCTGTATACACTTAAAAGGTAGGTCGATCGATCTCAACAGCAAGAAAACAAAATATATATGAGCGAAAGCAGTGCAAGAATACAAAAACTCTATTAGTTTTAGGTTTATGCACTAATCACTTTCCAACCCCTATTTTCCTTTTCACTACCTTTTAACTAAGCCAATTAGAGTATGTAACGTGTTAAGCTTTTCCAGCTCATGATTGGGTGATTTATGGGCAAACTAAAGCCAAATACATGATTAACTTAATTGCATTAGACAAGACAGTTTTTTTAAAAAAAAAAAAAAAAAAAGAAGTAACACGTTCTAGAATTTTATGAACTTTGGTGTGCCACTACCTTTATTTATAATCGACATTGCAAAACTTGAGAGATAGAAATCTAAAATGTGATTTTCGAATGGTCGTTCGTAATGTTTGTCTTATAATGCAGAAAATAGAAGAGTTAGAAAAAGTAAAAAATTAAAAATTAAAAATAAAACTTTGACAATGATGTTTTAGTTTATAACTAGTAGTAATAAGTACCTTATTGAGTTTTAAACGGCTGTCCAATATCTTATCCTCCTTGGTAGTAAGAAAGGTTTCTGCCATTTTATAGAGCAAATGCTCATACCCTCTTTGGTCAGCAACCAAGAATTCTCTATCTCCAAAATCCACATATGTTGATATTGGTTCAACCTCTGTAAAATGTGTTAAAAAAAATAATTATTAGCCCAGCTTCATTATTTTCCATTGGGAAAAAACTTTCTCGAAAATTATTTTTTTACCGAGATAAATAAAGTTAATCGACCTGCCATTTCAAAATCATGCAGAATAAAGTCAATTGCCAGCTCAATAGGAGTCTTTGGAGTGCTGCAAGAAAAAAAAATAAAGAATCAAAATTATTACCCCTATACAATTGAAGAGAATCAATTAATGCAATGAATTCATGAGAAAGGTAAAAAAAAACATTTTTGGGTAAAAATTTTAATTTCCAAAAAGTAAAAAAAAAGTTAGAGGGAGAGAGAAAGTCATACGACGGCGTTTCAGCAAGAACTGACACATCATGAGCAGTGGAAGCGTCATGGTTGGCCTCCTGACTCAACCGCTGGATTGCGGAGTCCACCGCCTTTTTATATGAGTCCGCCGCTATTCCACTTGGAAAAATCTTCCCACTAATTTTATCAATTAAAACCACAATCAACATCAAAACAACCCAAAAAAAATACAGAAAAATATTAAGAAAACAATGTTAAAAAATTCATGACAAAAAAAAGGAGGAAAAAAAGAAAAACAGCCCAGAAATTATTAGAATTCAAGAAAAACAATGAGAAGAAAATGCTAGCTCACTCAACCGCCACCTAAACTTTACGAGCAGAAAATAAGAAACTATACAAAATTTCTTATTTTCTGCGTTTAATTTCTTATTCCCTGAATTTAATTTATCGAGCGAATTAAGCTCAGGGAATAAGACTGACAAACTTTTAGGTTTGCCAAAAGAAACAAAAAACAACAATCAAGAATGCATACCTCCGATCATAGATGTTGTAGCGGGCGTAGCTATAATCGGAGAAGCAAGTGCGGAGGTTGGATTGTTTGGCGAGTTCCCAAACGGGGTTAGATTGTTTGCCACCCACACCGGCAATCCAACCGGCGCCGAGCTCAACCGTGACCTCGCCGAATTCCTCCTTCCTTACCCTCCCGCCTATCCGGTCTGACGCCTCCAATATCAACATGTCATCCACGCCATTTTCCGCTAACACCTTCGCCGCCGATATCCCTACGTGTTCAGATGCATGCAAAACGTTTAAAACAATAACGAGGCTATGAATTTTTACGGTGAAAATCAAGAGAAGCACGTCCAGTTGAGCGTCTCTGTATCAAGAATTACGCACCTGAGATACCTGCCCCGACTATTATGACAGAGCTGCGGGGATTTTTGTTGTTGTCCATGGAAGATTTGAGCAAGTAGAGGGAAGAGTGGAGGAGCTCAGAGAAATGGTTGGGGGGAAGAGAAAGAAAGATGTTTATGATGATGAGTAGTGAAAGATGAGGTATCGTTTGTGTTGTCCAGAGGGGAGGTAATAGCGGGAGACCGTTTTTATAGTTTCTTTCTTTGCTAGCTCCCTCCTCCCCCACTTCTCTCCTTCCTCTCTCTTTCTCGTTTATTGTCCTATATATATTTTTTTAAAAAAGGGTACTTGTTGGTGTTACCTTTTTCTTAAGAAAAAAAATATAAACTTTTAAAAATGATTAGACAGTTAAGGCGACTGGTTCGAATTTTAGAGTTTTTATAGTGGACTTATTTCTTTCTTTAATGTTTTAATTCGTGCCTTCTCGGTCGCAGATTTATCTCCGTGAATAAATTGGATATAAGAGATAGACAAGTACGATTGTATTTTGTGCAGTTGTACATAGCTCTGATGAATTCTCACGGATGAAACCGACAAATACCATACAATACAAACTTTGTGTGTAATTGTGTCGAGTTATTGATTTGTTATAGGTTTGGTTAATACTCAAAACAATAATGATTGTACTTGTTAGTTTGTTTTTTTTGTAAATATTCTCACAAATGAGAACAATAATATATCCATATGATACAAATGGTGTGCGCGGTTGTATCTGGTTATTGATTTACTGTAGGATTCGGTTGATAGTTATACAAATTTGTTCTAACATGTGTTGCTTGTTTGTGTACATAAATTCTCATAAATGAATGCAGCCGTATTCATGTAGTACAAACTGCACATAATTGCTGCAAAGCAAATTTGCATCTGCTGCCAAGGCCTAATAAATGTTCTCTATATTAAAAGTGGTAGCATACGTTACCACACGTATATACAAACATAGGCAGAACCAGAAAATTTCGTTCGAATGGACGAATTCTAATTCAACTAAAACTTAAATATATATAACTTGAAAAATATTTTTATTTTTTACGAATACAAATTTTTTGAGATTCCAACTTTTTATAGGAGAACTTAATTTTTCAAAAGTTGGGGGGCGGGGGGCCCCTCCCTAGTTCTACCCACGTATGTATAATTAGAATTTTTTTTTTTTTTTTGTAGGGAATGGATGGCGTATACAGAAAGTAGAATTTTAATTAAATAAATATAATAATTTATTGGGATGAACTAAAAAGAGGCAAAAAGGAGCACAAATTAATTTTGGGCCAAGGAAATGCGTCTCTTCAGGCCAATTGGATTTGTGCAGAGGCTAGGAGGGGTAGATCAGTCAATTGGAAAAGGCTAATTTCGGGAATCTAAAGTTGGGATTATAGGTATAAATTCGTATGCAAAACCGGAGTTGGGGAAATAATTTGAAAAGTCAAAGTCCGAACACGTGTGGCTGAGGTGGCAACCAAACATGTGTGGCCGTCAACGGACCGACCGTGAGGCCACACGTGAGCATTTTAAATATGTTTACTGTCTGGGGTTGGTTTATTACGTTAATTACAAAATAACCCCTTTTAAAGTACACGTTTTTTCCTTTGATCTCCTTATTATTGTCCAATTTGAATCCCGAGCTTTTTTTTTTTTTTCCTTTTTGCTTTATTCTTTAATGTAATGCAGTCTTAAACTTGATTTTATCATTTGAGGTGCAGATACAGTCCAATGAACGGAGATATACGCCTTCAATTATGTCAATAATTTGTCAATTTAATAAAAAAAATTCATTAAGGCATTTAGTTTTAGAAACACTTAGGTAATCTTTATCCACAAATCGCAATAAGAGTTTTTTGTTTTGTTTTGTTTTGTGTAGGGTGTTTTTTTTGGCATTCTTGTGTGTGGTTTACATGTCGTTTCTGTGAATTTAAAATGACAAAATTGGATTCAACTTGGTGGTTTAATTTGCTTAGTTGCTCGTATCATATTTGAAAAAGTTCAAAAGTTTAAGTGTCAAATCAAACAATAAAAAGGAAAAATTAAGAGTTTAATATCTTACCATAGTGCATTTTGAAATTAACCCTCTTGTATTTGGGATTCTAATTTAGAAACTAACGTGACAGCCAGCTATAGCCTATAGGCTACTATGTTGACAGCTAAAATTCTCAAAGGCTAATGGGAGGCCTAATCAAAATATCGAAGAGTATCTCAATTATTTGTTGTTACATGAGGTTGCGATTCCAAGTCGGTATAAATACTATTCACTCACCATGTGATATGATAGTGAAGTTATCACTCACTTTCTATTGTTCTTTATTATTTACTGGGGAATAATACTTGTCTTGCACTTTCTAGTACTATGTTAGTATCGGGTTGAACTGAACTTGTACAAGCTAAGCTAGCTAACATTTGACTCAAGCTCACTTGAGCTGGGGTCAAGAACCAGTTGATGTTAAAACTAATATTAATGTAGTATATTAAAGGCATTTGAATCAATAAAAAGTAATTCAACTTGGTGGTTATACGTATAATCAAGCTAATTTCGATTATAGATGTATATTTGTTAAAAAATAAAATAAAAGTACAACGATATTCGACTTGTTTAGACCCTATTGAAAGTAATGTCCTTGATTTTTCAATAGCAATGTTTGGCATCTTTAGTGTTTTTCCATATTGAACTGCAATACATATTCGGTCAAAATCTTGATCTTAAAACTTTGCCATCTAAACATTTATATCCATTTCTCATGTTTTTATCAATTCTTTCTTAATTGCCATCTAAAGTACATAAGTTCAACTCAATTTACCCACGCCATTTCATGTTCACATCCAGTGCAGACAATGTTTGGTAAATTACTACACATAAACTTAGCAAATATTTTAAATGGATTTTTTAAGCAGCTATCCCTTATGCACCTGATAGCACACATATATTATATCCAACCTATATGTAAATGCACACACTAACAAATTATTGTCCTCTTTTGTATTTATATGTTTTTTAATTAATTTTATTTATTCAAAATTTAACACTTGAACTACATCGTAAGTGAACATTCATTAGTAACACCCATTTTAAATGGTAGGAATATCTTTTTCTTTTCCTTCCGGTAGGAGAAGGATGAAATTTAAGAAGTAGGGGAGGGGAAGGGGTGTTTAAACCCAAGACCTCTAATGGTGCATTTGATAAATTTAAAATTTGAAATCTGAAATTTGAATCTACTAAGTTATTGTATATATATATATATATATATATATATATATATATATATATATATATATATATGAAAGTAGCTATTTTAATCACAGTGTTTCTCACTCCTATGTACGTGCCTAATTGAAGAGAATTAACGGGTTATGGGTCATTTGGGTTTTACCTATACTAAATCCTATTTGGATTATATTATGTGTTTAAAAATTATCTTTAATTTTAAAATAACTCCTATTTGGATTATATTATGTGTTTAAAAATTATCTTTAATTTTTGGATTATATTATGTGTTTAAAAATTATCTTTAATTTTAAAATAACTCCTATTTGGATTATATTATGTGTTTAAAAATTATCTTTAATTTTAAAATAACTTTAAAAAACAACTAATCTTATCTAATGATGTCTGCTTCTATCAAATTATTACAATGATTATATTATATGTTTAAAAATTATCTTTAATTTTAAAATAACTTTAAAAAATAACTAATCTTATCTTAATGATATCTGCTTTCTACCAAATTATTACATAGAAATATAATAAAACCTTTTTAAATTACAATTATTGAAATCTCACATATCCCATAAATTACTTCCTTTTTACCACCATATCATTGATTAGTATTCAAATTGTTCATCATCTCTTCTTAATTTTGAATTAACTTAGTGTTACACTGATAGATTTACCAATATTATTGGAAATTGAATATTTTTTGATGAAGTAAAATGGGTTAATGGTTCTTTTTTTTTTTCTACTTAATTAAGTATGAATATATAATTCTAGGTTTTGGTCATTATAAAAATTTAAATTATCTAAAAGAATATCTATAAGTTTTAGGTATGGGGTACATTATTTGATGTATACTATCATATTATAGTCAAAGTATGTATACAAAATTTTAAATAATAGTAAATAATTGAACATTTAAAATATGTTAATTTTTTAAAATTAATATGAATGAACATGTAGAATTGTTGTTAATTTTTATATTTAAATTATTCATATTTGTATAAATTCACAATAAATAAAAAAACTGTGCTAAGGTACGAGTAAAATTCTAGTTATTAATTTAAGATGTCATATTTTTAGTTGTCAAATACATTTGAATATATTAAAATTTGAAATCATTACATTTAAGTACTAAATTTGATTATCAAATAGGGTCTAAGTTTTAAAGTTTTAATATTAACCGCTAGACTGAGGTTTCAATGGCAAATAATAGGAATATTATTAAGTCACAAAAATGATGTAATGTTAGTTTTTACATGTTGGTGCCGCAATTAAAGAGTAAACAGTTCGACTTGGACATAAGCAACGCGATGCCACTTCTTCCATCAGCATTAAAGATCCGATAGAAAAGTTTGGCTGATTGCAAAAGCGTTAAGAATTGGCTGTTAGTGCAAAAGTCAAAGAAGGTGACACGATATGTTAAAGAAGGCCGGAAATGAACTTAACGGTATGCGGCTAGTATTTGCTGCTTTGCCCTTTCTATACAGTAAATTGTCAATAACTCCCTTGTGCTTTGAAGAAGTTATCCCTTCTCCGGTTCTCCCCCTATTGGCTTTAAAACCTACCCTCATCTGCCTCCTCGGAGTTTTAGAGTAAAAGGTCAATTAAATGATAAAAAATTAATAATAACAATTCTTACTGCGTTGAGATTTATTAGAGAGACTATTCTGATTTAACTTAAAAAAGAAATGTTTAGTTTTTAAAACTACAATTGCAATCAAGAGGCAAACATGAATGTATGGCAAAATTGTTTTTAGCAAACCATATCATCGAAACATTTTTTTTAGGGTAAAAGTGTGTATATTTGTAAGCATGATTTTTTGAATTTTTTTGAGATAAAAGTAAAATCTATAACAATAATGCCTACTACATAGCATATTTTCGAGTCTGTTGGGGCAACTTTTTAATCTGAACAACTTTTTAGGGTACAAATTTTAAGATAATTAATGATGTCATAATCTTGGGGGCCAAAGTGAGACTTTGGAAACCCTTGTGGGGTAGATTCTGT